TATCAATCCAGAAATTCAGAAATGATGGCCGCGTTACCCAAGAAACTCAAAAGATCATAAAGAACTAATAACGTCAACAGTACCATACCAGTTCAACAACTTTCTTGGATGCACCAAAGTCTGCAAGTTTAATGCACCCTTTGTTATCAACTAGAATGTTGGCTCCCTGTATCCCACAACATATTGACCAAAAGGATAAAGAGAGGCACCAAAGCAGAGAATCTTTTAGAAATAAAAGTAAAGGCAAAAGCACGGTACCTTAATATCTCTGTGAATAATCCCATTATTGTGAAGATATTCAAGGCCCAGTAAAAGCTGTTTCGTATACATTCTTATAACCTGAAAAAAGAAATTGAACATTAAGCAACCAAAGAATCACAACGTGATAGATTCTTTATGTGCTTCAAAAACTAATAAATGAATATCACTTACGGATTCGGGGAAGGATCCAAATTTCCCCAAAAGTGATGAGATAGAACCACCGGGTACGAACTCCAGCAGAATATTTAAGGAGTTCTCCTCTCTCGCAGTTCCCAAGTATCTCTATCATAATAAATAAATAAATAAATAACAAACAAAATGGAGGGGGGAAAGCACTTTCTAAATTATTGAACACCAAGGAATCAAAGTACTCTGATTCGAGTAATAAGACCACACTCACAACAATATTTGGATGCTTAAGATTCTTGAGAAGCTTAACTTCTTCTTCGAGCTCCCGAATATTAGCCTAACTCCACAGGGCATAAAGAGAATTTCTATCAATCATCACGTAGAACATCAACCAGCTTACACAAAACAAGAGCATTTCATTCCACACTGATTCCACACCATGACCACTGAAAACACTTCTACGAAGCTCAACAATGCAAACCTATAGCACAGTAGCAGTACTAAAATCTCGTAAAAGTGAAACCAGATTTTTACCTGTGTGTTCTCCTTGTAAGCGCTACCAGGAGCGATTAAAACCTAACAGAAAGCCATAATTAAAGAATTAGAACGTAATAAAGCAAAATTATAGCAAAAAAGCGACGAAACAGAAACAGACCTGTTTGATGGCAATAAGCTCCCCGGAATCGAGGTTCATTCCCATGTAGACGTGACCGAAGGCACCGGAACCAATCAACTCGCCCTTGCGCCACCGGATGGGAGGAGGAGGAGGTTTTAACGCGATTCGCGATTTGCGAATGGCGGAGCCAAGCTTGTCGGCGATTCCGGCAAAAGGAGCATCGTCACCCCCGGGTCGGAAAACCAGGGAGCGGCGAAGAGAGCCCAAAAAGTCTTGCATATTGTGGTTGTGGCTAAAGTTTGGCGAGGGTGGCGTTGTTGGCGTGAGTGGAAGGAATGCAATATTTGAAGGAAGGAAGCAGATTGTGAGTTTTTCAAAATGATGGTTTCTTGCTGCTGGACAGTGTATCCCAACGGTTATCTTTTCTTTTTTTGACTTTGAATGGCCCCCTTCCATCACATGAATGGCATGTCCGTAATTTCAATGCTTTATGACCCACTCTTTTAAAGTTCATTTCTTATGTTCCGTGCTTTCATTTGTTTAAAATATATATATACATATACATGTATAAGGTTTGCTAACATGCTCTTATTTTTTAGTTGTTACATTTTAACTCTGTGTACCAAATTTTAGTAATTAAAAATATTCTTATATATTATGGATTCTAAGTTTTAAGGTCATTTGAATAATTTTTATTCCCAAAATTAAAAAAAAAATAAGAAATTCTCGAACCTTTACTTACCTCACTCGTTTCTCTCAACCATCTCTTTTATCTCTCTCACTCCAACATTTTCTCTGTCATTCTATGTAGCTCTAAGTGAAAAAAATCAGAAACATTAGCGGTTAAACAATTTCTTACAAAAAAGAATTTTGTAATGAGTTTTTATTTTATAATTTTTGTCTTATGTAATTTTGTCTAATTTTCAGCTGTTAAATAATTTCTTACAAAAAATGATTTTTATAATGAGTTTTCATTTTATAATTTGTGTCTTATATAATTTTATCTAATTTTCACTCACAAACATCTCAAACTCAAAGGAATTGATAATTGGCCTAGAAAAAATCAGAAACACTTGTTAAACAATTTCTTACAAAAAATGATTTTATAATAAGTTTTCATTTTATAATTTTTGTCTTATCTAATTTTCACAAGCATAATGACATCCGAAGGAATTGGTAATTAGCCTAGAGGGTTTTTTTAGAGATGATGATTAATATCTGTAGACGATGAAATTAGACAGACATGATGAAATTGAAGAGATAACATTTGGTTGATGGTGAATATGCTAATGACTTGACTCTTTCCAAAGACAAATCTTTTAACTAGGAGTATTTCTGATTTTTTCACTTGGGGCTACAAGAAAAATGTTAGAGTGAGAGAGATGAAAAATAAAGAGTTAAGAAAAATGAGTGACTTGAGTAAGGGTTTGAGAAGTTTCTTATTTTTTTTTAGTTTTAAAAATAAAATTGTTCAAATACCATTAACCTTAAAACTTATAATCGATAATATATGAGGGTATTTTTGTCTCCTAAAACTTGGTACACATTGCTAAAATGTTCTAAAATGTACCAACTGAAAAACAAGGTAGTCAAGTTAAAAAATCCCTATATATATATATATATATATATATATATATATATATAATCATATCTTATGATTAATTTTGTATTATATAATGTACATTTTACATTTATTATGTGATAAATGTTTTTTAATTGTTATAGAAGCATGTACATTAGATAAATTTTACTTTTTAGTTTCTATACGTACTATTTTTGCCCTATTACTATCATTTTTTTTATCATAGTTTTGTATGCTTCTGAAGTATTTGTTGATATTATTAATGATTATATGTTTAAAAATATATGATCACTCGTAATTAACTAAGAATATGTTTTAATCATGAGACATTATTTCAAAACTTTATTTAATGACATTGAATTCAAATATATAGATACCAACAACACTGATTTCTTTTGTTATTCATCTGAGCAAATGTATTAATGTTTATTTTAATATATTTTAAAACATTAAAATTAGTATTCATGAATGTATTTTAAAGATATAGTAGATACAAAAAATCAACAAATAATCCAAATTCATAAATAAGACTTAGATTTTAAGTTGGTGATTTTAAAAAATAATAAATATTAAAATTTAAAGCTATATCTATTATATAAATATATTTTTTAACTATTTAGTGTGCATTTTAATTTCGCTATCTCTTTATTTTATTTCTCTTTAAAATATTTTGAAATATCTTTTTCACAGATCGTAACTTCTTTTTAAAATAGTGTAAGATAAATTTCTATTTCTTTCATAAAAATAAGACAAAAAATTTTAGTAGGATTACTCTTAAAAAAGAAGATATTAAAATTATAAGTTATATTTAATATAGAAATTAAAATTTTAATTGTTTAGTTTTTCTTTCTTAAAAAAAATCTCGTAACTTCTCTAATTTCATGGTGTATATGATAATAAAATTTAAGAGTATATGAATATGTTAGATTTTGTGTAAAATAAGTTTTATTTTATTAAATTTTTAACTTTTTTCTTCTCACGAGTGGTATGCAAGAAACTGAGCACCATGTAGAATATGGACTCTGGTAGTTTAAGTTTACGTTGATATACTTTGTTTGTTAATTATATTTCTTGTAAGTAAGCAGCAGCTTTGTAGCTTCATTTAGTTTTGTTAACTTCATCATTAACATAAAAATGATAATCACTTTTGTATGATATACTGTAAGATGTGATCGGTAAGTTACGTAATAAGTCATCATTGACAACAAACACGACACAGTAATCGAACGGTTCTCTACATATATTCAAGACCATTTGGTTTATTCATTAAATTATAAGTTAAGTAGGTGAAGTGGACGTTTGAGTGTTGGGTTGTAATTGGGCCAACACTAACACTAGTGTATTGGGCCAACATCAATTTAAGGTTCACGAAATATTTATGTTATTAGGCCAATATCAACTTAAGGTCCACAAAATACCTATAAATACAGGGATAAACTACATAGATAAGGTTAGCTTAATTGAGTTTTGATACTTAATTTTGAACTAAGTTCATTGAGTAAATTCTATCTTGAGTTTTAGAGTTTCTTTAACATGTATCCACCGCTCCGCTTGAATTCGAAGAAGTCTATGGAAGAAAGAAACTAAGGGATCCTACTCATTTAAATACATAAACAACTTTGATATATGCAAAACAATGTTTAAATTCCAAATCTTTTTTGTAAAATGAACAAAAGTTCATAACACACAAAAAAAATAATAAATCAAATAAATTTTAAATAGATGTTAGTAACCCTACTTATTACTTTTCCTTCAAAACTTGAAAGATGCCTCTTTTTCTAATGGTGAATAATAAGTCACCTACTAAATAATAATTAATTATATTTTTTCTTATTTCTTAAAATTGAAATTCATCTTTAAGAATTTTAATACAATTGAGTATATTTATTTATTTTAAAAATTTAATGATTAAAATTGTATAAAAAAATTGAAATATAAACTAATTTTAATTTTTCGTTAAATTTTAAAACTAAAAATATATTTAAAATTAAAGTTTAAAACTAAAAATATATTTAAACGTTAAAAAAAATCAAATGTATATTTTTAAATAAATAAATGTTACAAGAATGGTTGAATATAAATTTCAATTCGGTGTTAATTTCTTTTCTCTTTCAATACTATTAAGTTTGATTTGTTAACTAAAAATGTTTTATAAATACTTTTACCTAATTTATTTTGAAAAAAGCAAGCATAACTTGAGTTAATGTTTAAACAGAATCATACACTTCATGTTTTCTAGAAACTCTATTTAATTCCTTAAAAAATTAGTTTAAGTTTATAACTTATTTTTGTGCATACGATAATTTAATTCAAGTGAATATCAAACGACATAATGAAATATCACGTGAATGGGTGGGAGAGGAACCTATTTTTATCCAATAATTAATTAGCCTGTCTTTTCCTCATTAACGGTTTCCTAACTCTAGTTTGAAGGTTGAGAGCACAACTTTCGCATTATATTCAGCCCAATCCTTACCAAGTTACTGTCCTTCAACTACCCTTCCTTATTCACTTCATGGGTGTCCTGGGAGCTCCTAAAGACAGCACCTTTTGTTTTGTATCCTTCAAATCCCAACACCCTTTGGTCCAACAAGTCTAAGTTTTGTGTCTTGTTACTCAATTGACCTTGTGTTTGATCATTTCTTTGTTTTTTTGGGATTGTTGAGAAAGAAGATGCAGCTTGATCTGGAATCACTGTCAGAAGCTACTTCTGGTGCCATTGGGTCACTTGTTAGTACCACCGTCTTGTACCCTCTTGATACTTGCAAGACAAAATATCAAGCTGAAGTTCAAGCTCAGCATCAGCGAAAATACAAGTTCCATTCTTCACCCTTTTAACATTTTCTGGGTCCGACTTAATTATGTTCTGACATATACGTGCTTGTCTTAGTTCATGGGTTGGGCTGTCGGGTGCAAGTGATAGTTTAGTAGCGTAATTTTGATATTTTTGGCCAATTTCCATATAAGCAGCTTATTAGTATTTATTATTGTAGTACTTGACATTATTTGTAAGTGCGTTTTTTGTCTGGATCACGAGCCAAATTAAACAAATTAGGTTTAAGTGTGTGTCTGGATTATAGAGCCCTTTTATCTGGTAAAAATGAAGCAGAAAAAGCTGGAAATTGGGTATGCCATGTAAATCTGGCCACTAAACTAATTGGTTCAAGAAAAATAATGCACAAACTCCTTACCAATAAATAGGTAGAGGGGTTGAAAAGAGTTAGTGCACTGAGCTGGTATTTCCTGAGAAATTGGTTCACACTATTGTATCACATTAGCTTTTTAACACGATACTAGTATAAACTGGTTTGGATTATTCCCCTGAGAAAGTAATGACATTGATCAAGAAAAATAATGCACAAACTCCTTCGATGTTCAAGAAATCCAAGCCCCAATACCAGCTCAATGCGCTAACTCTTTTCAATCCCTGTACCTATTTATCGGTAAGTTCAGGAAATTGGACACTACTTCCACTAGAAAATCTGGTTCAATATTGAGAGCCAGTGATGATAATAATAACTTTCCAATTGCCAAAATTGCAGGTGCTCGTTTGCTTTTATCTTGATGTTTTCTATCCTGGCAAATAATCTAGGAAGCAAGAATTTTAGAGTGAGTTGTGCTTATTTGATTTTGTTTCTGTCTTGTGTAGGAGAATTTCTGATGTTTTATGGGAAGCAATTGCTACCCGTCAGGTGCTATCACTGTACCAAGGCCTTGGGACAAAAAACGTTCAGTCCTTCATTTCGTCTTTCATTTATTTCTATGGATACAGTTACTTTAGGAAGCTGTATTTGAAAAAAAGTGGAAACAAGTACATTGGAACAGCAGCAAATTTGATTGTTGCCACCGCTGCTGGGGTCTTTACGATAGTAATAACACAAGTAAGCATAATTGTAATTATGTTTTGAAGAAAAATTGCTGTTAGTTACTTAGATGTGTTGTGCTTTTCTGTAGTATGCCAACTGAGGGAGCTTTTCTTAACTTAGAAGTAAATTGAATTTTATTTAGGGCAATTATTCTGTTGACATGACAACTATAACTAAGGTCAATATTAGGCAATTGTGGTATGTGATCAATAAAGAGTCACCTAAGCTTATGTTGGGGATTTGGGTAGGTTTTTTTGTTGATGTCATAGCAAGAACATTATCCAGCGAAAAAAAAGAAAGGAATATCACCAACTAATGTAGTGTTCTCTCAAGAAAATCATGATTCCTAATTAATTTAATGTTGTCCGACTCAACCTTTCCTTATTATTAGGCACTCAATCTGCACTAGTTTGTTCTTGTATATTATAGCCCTTAGATACAGCATCCTCGCGGATGCAGACAAGTGAATTTGGAAAATCCAAGGGATTCTGGAAGACCCTTTCAGAGGGTACATGGAGTGAAGCATATGACGGACTTGCCATTTCCATTCTTTTAACAACAAATCCATCCATTCAGGTATCTATTTTAGGATGCTTTTATACAAATGAGACAGAGATGAACTGTTTTTCCAGATTAGGTTTCAGTTCAGGTTACCTAACTCAGATAACGATTGTTCTCCTCGACAGTATACTGCATACGATCAGCTGAAACAGAGAATATTAAAGGGCAACATAAGCAATAGAACAGGTACAAAGTCATCCCCAGAAGCACTGTCTGCATTTTCTGCTTTCGTGCTTGGTGCAGTTTCAAAATGTGCAGCTACGTGCTTGACATACCCAGCTATCAGGTGGATGATCAATTTCAATTAGTCTCACCCAAAGTTTATGTTACGTCTGTTATTGATTCTTGTGAATATTATGCAAAAGAAGAAAAAAATCAATTTTATTTTATGCTGATCTACGGTCTCTTGATTGAGATGTATCTCCATGAGTTAGTTAGCTAGTTACATTGTTCAGTTAACTTAGTTGGTTAAAGAAATAAGGCATGTTACCAATAAATAGGAAGAGGGGTTGGAAAGAGTTACTCCACTGTGAGTTGGTATTGGGGCTTGGATCTCTTGAATATCGAAGAAGTTTGTGCATTACTTTTCCTGATCAATGTCATTACTTTCTCAGGGGTGTACTCTAAATAAAAAAAGCTAATGTGATACAATGGTGTTTTCTCTGTTTATGCTAAGCTGGGGACTCTCTGATTAAAGATTTTTTAATTGTCGATAGGTGTAAGGTCATGATTCAGGCTGCTGAATCTGATGATGATAAGCATACAGAAGCTGAGAGGAAGGCACAGAGGACAATCTCTGGAGCTCTCTATACTATTTGGAAAAGAGAAGGCGTATTGGGATTTTTCAAAGGATTGCAGGCACAGATATTGAAAACTGTTCTTAGCTCTGCATTACTTCTGATGGTAAAGGAGAAGATCGCAAAGTCCACATGGATTCTAATGCTCATGATTGGAAGATACATGTCTGTGAATTCCCCCAAAATGAAGGCAATTTGAATGTCATGAGTAATTCTTAAAACAACTTTTCATCCAAGAATATGCTAAAATTTGCTTTGTTTTCCATGGAGTAAAATAATGAGAGTGTAGCTGGCAGTTTAGACTGCCTTTCTGAAGGAGTGCCAACAATGACATTTTAGACCAATGGAGTCTGACCATCTGTTATGCTTTTTCTCTCATTAGACCTTAGCCTCAAAGTAGACTTGTTTATATATTACCTGTTTTCTGTTAACCCCATCCATATTAGCTTGTATCATTTGGCAGATGCCAAGCTCTAAAAAATTATATTATTGATAATAATGACAACAATAAGATAACAATCCTTTGGGAACAATGCCTTCTTTCTCCTATTTGCCTTGCATTCTATAGAATTACAATACCAAAACAACACTTACACAAGGGCATCTCCATTTCCATCTAGAAAAAACAGTTGTCTTCAATAAGCTCACCCTGACAAACATTTTTTTGGTAACAAAATTGCAACCTTAAAGCATTGTCAACGGCCATCCTCTTTGTTTCATAACAGGAAGATGTAACCAACTAAGAAGAGCATTGAGCAATAAAGCAATCCAGATCCGGAAATCAAATTGGCACCATCAGAAGTATAGGGAGAAAAGGTTCCCGCAGGAGTATTTGTTGTCAAGACAACAACAATCCAGTTATCTTCTGAACCAATACCAATTCCTGTATATTTTGTGTCATTGAGACTATCTGAGTAGAGAGATTTCGTGAAATTAGTTAGGACAAGACTTGGAACCAGACCAGGAACACAAACAGGCATTATATTTCCATCCCTTGTGTTGGAAATGGCCAAGTGACACTTTGTTAGGAGGTCTGGATAGTTTGAAAACTGAGGCTCAGTGCCAGGTACGGTGTTAGAACCTGTGGTATTCGTGCAGGGTTGTTTCTTGAATTGGTCAGCTATTTTATTAGCAAGGCAATCTGCATTGTCATTCCTTGTTAGAGCTTTCAAGTTTATTGATGCTCGATACTTGATGATACCCTGATAAAGATTGTCTTCCTCATCTGCAGAAGAATGTTAAGATAAGTGCAGGTTCAACATAATAACTTCAATAGTATGTATGCACATGTCCGTGAATGTGCAAGTAAGCCAGAAAATGTTGACATACGAGATTTGACAATCATCTATCCGCAAGTTTTATATTAAGAATATAATTTTTTTACTAATTTTTTAAAATGTGTTAAGTAAAAAACAAATTACATGTGATATTTTGTTTCAATCTAGCAAACTTACAACCAAAACAGGTGACAGAAGATAAAAAGATAAAATATAGGGTAAACTTTGGCCTCTAGATATTTAAAAGTGGATGATTTTAGCCGTTTAAATTTTTACCCCAGGTGAATTTTGTGCTGTGGTTTAGTATAGTTGAGAAATGGGATTCGAAAATCATATAAAATACTAGAATCAAAATCGTATTGTAAATGGAAATTGAGAGACTTTAAGCACATTTTATCCTAAAATATTCTTCAACACCTAACACAAATTATAAAATGATTAAGAGTTTAATATCTACGAACAAACGATTTATAGCCTCCCATCAGATTCAATAATTCCAGATCAATCTTTCTCCTAATCAGATCTAGCTTGCATATTGAGAAATCACAAAGAAAACTTTTCTTTCAACAAAGAACATTAGCAGATTGCAGAGAGAGCAAGTAGTACTCACCATCGTCACATTTTACTGGATGGTTCATCAAGAGAATCACAAGGGAAGAAAGGAGAAGCCAGAAACACAGATAGAACTTGGGCAGCACCATCCTTCTCTGTTTAGTGTTTGATGTAGACGAAGACTCTCACATGGCAAAAGAAGTTGCCACTTTGGGATCCTATATGAGGGGTTCAATTCAAACACAAGTTTCCTTGTGCAGGGTGCTTTTCTGTTTCTTCAAGCATACGTTAGAAGCTATAGACATCACACTGACACCGACGAAGACATCACAACGGTAAGGAAAATGGTTGCTGGTATTTCAGTATCAGATTCAAATGGGTTTGTCATTTTTTCCCATGCATGAACAGACGATGGTATTTCCTTTACTCGAAAGACATTATCTTATGCAACATAATCGCAGTAATTTTACATTTTTGTTGATGTGTTGTTATGTGGGATTAGTAGGACTCATACCACTGGCGATTACATCTCCCATTAAGGAAGTATCTTGTACCTAAAAGTGTCTGCCTTACACCAATTTGGTGCACCGTATAAATTGGAATATTAGATGTCTTCCTACAATATTTTTGATGACACATTGAAGGCTATAACAACCGACATGTGATCAGTCATTATCATCTTCTATTTTTCGTATAAATTACTGAGACCAATAGTTATTAATAGTAGCTTCACACCCATATGAATAAGTTGATTTCTAATTATAATAATAATAATAATAATTATTATTATTATTATTATTATTAAAGATATATAAAAGAACCACAGTTATGAGAGTCTGCTAAATTTTCTTTCTTCACCATGGGAAGAGCTTTGGTAACAGAAATAACACTCAACCAGAAGCAGCAAATCAGAAATTGTTGCTGGCTGGACTCAACCAGAAAAGATAACATAACGAGGAGTCAACAACTTCAAATTCGTAAAGTAAATCCATGAATAGTTACCTCTTGTGTTTCATATCTGGTGCAAAATTCTGACAAGTTCAGATTGATAACAACATCCAGTGGGAATGCACCTTCTACACAGACAACTTGTTCTAACAGTATCTTTTGTCAGAAACAAATTTAAAAAATGTTGAATGATTATTGTCTATCAAATCCTTCTGATCCACGTTTACTTCATTATTCAACTTCTGAAATTTGGCACAAACCATCTTCCATCATTTAATGTTTTCCAAATGTACAAATGAACCATCATAAGAATACAAAATGTCTCAGATTTCAATGTGCTTTTCTTTTCTTTCTTTTTCTGTTTCACCAAAAATAGAACATTACTAAATCAGGTGATCAAATTGAAACCAAAATCTCTTCACTATTTCTTGAAACACTCGTGATTCTTCCTCTAAACAGCTGTCTAAGTTCATGTTTGGGTGAGTTTGCAAAACTGGTATCAAAAAATTGATTTTGATTTGATGAGATTTATATTAGAATGTTTTTATTATGAAAGCAAGTTAACTTTTTTTTATCCATTGCAAGAGCTACAAAAAGTTGTTTTAACTAAAATTCAATTCTGAGCACAATAAACCAATTTTCATCATTAGTTTATAAAAAGATAATGTTTCTATCTTATATTATACATACTTGTATGTGAATCAAGTTGAAATATTAATCCTTCATAACCTGTGACATATTGTTTCAACGTCGATCTACTCCAAATCTTCATCAACAACTCATCCTAGTTTGTAAGCTACTGCGATAGGAGCTTCTCAGCCTGAATAATTTTAAAAATGAATAAATATTAATAAAACCTACTATTATCGATAACTCATCTTAATTATTAAATGTTATAATAACAGATCTAATGGTTAGTATAGATTAGTTGCTTCGTCGTTGATCTTCTTTTTCTTTCTCTTCTGCATATTCTTCGTTGTTCTTCTGCATTTTTTTATTTTGGAGTTGTGTTCCATTGTGTTGTGTGTTTATACTCGGGGAAAGCTTTCTGGATTTAAGGTTGTGGTTTAGAGTTACATTGTTGTTGTGTTTACGTTTTAAGTTCCCTGGCAAGTTTGGTTTTTTGTTATGGTTATGGATTTTTGTTAAATCGTGGGAATTTTCAAAAGAAGCTCAATAATGAGAGGTTTTTAAATTGGTACTGTTGAGTTAAATTCTTTTTTAGCAGTTTTTGTGTTGTTGATCATGGAGGTAAAGAAATTGTGTATGAGTTTGTGGTTTATTTCATTTTTGGGTCTGTGCTAATGCTTTTTTTCTTTAAATTGTCAGTGACTTTTGAATCCTACGGGTAAGCCATGTTCAGTACACTGTATTGCAGTTGTTCCTGATATTCACTGGGCTCTACTTTGTGCTTTGGGCCAAAGGGAAAGAAGGTTGCTTTCAGAATGAATATGATGCAGAGAAGCCTCTTTTAAGCTAACCTTCTTTTCATATGTAAAGAGAGTAGTATGTAGGATGATGTACTTATTTTATTCATGGAAACAGAGTAAATGAAATACAAGTTTATTCACAAATCTTACTTCTAAGTTCTAATCAAATACGCCATGCAATTAGATTAGCGATGTCATCTTATAATGTAATCCTGACGCCGATCCCAGCTCCTCTGACGAAGATGTTATCGCCGGAATCCGTAACAATTTCGCTGAGATTGGTGGCAAGTTCAAGATCGGGATCTCCAAAATTTATGGCAACAAGACGGTATCCGAATCACCAAGATTGCTTCGAGCTTCCTTCAGCTTGGATCCCGAGAGGAATACGACGTTGTCCTTTTCCTGACGATGCTGATTATAATGGTATATCGACTTTTTCACTCTTGGTTATGCAAATCCGGTTTACCGTTCCAATCGAAATTTCTTGAGGATTTATTTTTACTTCTAAACATATATATAATAGTTGTCGCTATTCTCGGAATTTGCCCAAATGGGCTTCTTAAGATGTTCATGTGTGTATGTTAGATGATATATTTGATCGCTGCTGATGTTTCAGTACCTCTGGAATTTTGTTGCTTAGGTTTTGACTTGTCGCTGACCACACTACCTTAAGAGCAAGACTCTAGAGTATATTACAGATTCAAAACTTAAATGGGTGCTTTTGCATTTGACTTTTTAGTGATGAATATTCTCCTCCACTCGAAAACAGTGTGTCAAAATAGTTTGAAATACGTGAGGGATTACCATGAGTTAGAGCCGGATTAATTTAGAAAAAAATATAAAATATTTTATGCGAGTCAATTTTGATCCGATTTACTAAGAACTCGACTTGAACCCGTGGTAAGTCGAGTTGGCTTACCAACCCACTTAATTTTTTTAATTAAATTAATTATTCAAATCTTATTTTTTTTATTGAAATCAAATTAATTATTCAAAACACACAACATTTACTTAGCAATAGATTTGTGGATTATAAATTGGATAATATTATAGATGGAGATAAAGAAGAAAATGTTTTGAGAGAGCGTAATATTGTGGATTTATCCATTCAGGATTCCAATTTAATAAATGAATAATATTATAGATTGGATAATTCAATAATATATAATTTGTTTTATCTTGTTTTTAGACCTATTTACAAACA